GAAACATTCAAAGTTGAAGGAGGAAGACGTAGTTTGATCAAAGCCTTAAATGCCAAACGTACAGTAATGCTATGGTTTGCTGTTGCTCTGTGCAGTTAATCCGATTCTATGTTAATAATATTCAGTGTCATACACGTCTCCAATCTGGAGCTTTGACTGTTTCTGCTGGTACTGACACTTCTGCCTATATTTGGGTTACAGTCTAAGACTGCAAAAGATGAGGGGGACTCTGAAATGGGATATTAATGTTTTATGAATAACGAAGGTCATCTCAAATTGTGATAGTCATGGGGGAAATTTAAAATGTCCTGATTACAAAACTCTAGTCATTTATTTATTTGAACTCTGAAGTAAAATCCTGCTTTAAAAATACATAAAGATAGAGAGAGTGAGAGAAAGCAACATTGAAGTTAGATGAACAAGAAATGTAAAATGAGTGCATGTTCAACTTTAATTTGAGGAAGCGCTGCCCTTTAAGTATGAAACTTAAAGGGCAAAAACGTTCTTTTTTCTTTAATGTGTTTACATTATCACAGTGTTTTCATCAATATGACAAAGTCAGTTTGAGTTATTCTCACCACACTCAGTCAAATGTTTCACACACCCTAAGGCATTTTCTTCATGCTGACTTTAGCACAATCCCACATCATTACTGTGAATCACAGCGAGTTCCAGTGTGTCAGAATACATCAATTGAAACGACGACAAATCTTCCAAATATATTTTCAATCACTCTAATCCATTAAAACTTTAATTAAGAACATAGGACTGGGATTTTTATATATTTTTTATACACTTTTGCATTGGCAGCCATTATAATTAATTCATAATGCTAAAATAAAACTTTAAATGTGTTCTCTTCTCTACTGCCATCAACTGTGGATTAGGGCTTGACGCTCACCCCTCCTCCACCTCCAGGGTCGGGACGCAGGGCTGCACTGCGGCTGCACCTCCATCATAAGATATATGAACTCACGATGGGGTCTATGAACCCCTTCAGTCATCTTGTGCACATGTCAACTAATTTGTTTAATCACAAATAAGTCTCCCCTGGTTGAACTGATGCTATTGCAAGATTGGCGCTAATTAAAGGCCACAGTTGTATTGAACAAACCGCTTCTCCCTGTTTTCAGTCGACACACAGACCTTAACCGTAGCTGCCAGTGTCTTCACAGGACGCCAATTGGTCCAAACTTTTATGAGTTGTGCTTGAAGTCTTATTCTGCATTATACATATTTTTTTATTTCAATAATAGCTATTCTAAACCTATTCCCATTTTGATGGCGACTCCCACATTCCACTTTAAAATACAAAGTATCGAAACATCAGACAATCATAGACGCTAGCAAGGTCTCAAAAGACAATGTAGTTGTATAGCAGAACACCTTTCAGCGTAGTTGGGGATGGGGGGACTTCTAATCTGTGATTGCGGCAGTGTGTGCATAAATGCAGCAGTGTGCCCTGTGTGTCAAGACTAAGCTGAGATGAAATATAAGATGAGACAACTATTGAGTCCTGTGCCTCCTGTGGTCTCCTGTTCTGCTTCCCCTCGCCCCCCACCTTTCCATAGACAGTTATCCAATTAGGTGATTCTCATTGCCTTAATCGATGGAGACATGAACGGGCACACACTGACATGCATACGGACACACACACACAAATCCAACCCTTTCCCTAAGTAGTGTCTAGCCTGGTTACTATGGAGATGGGGGAGTAGGGTGTAGGGAGTGAAATGTGAATATAAGTGACAGGAGCAGATCCACAATTAAGTACCATGCAGGAGGCAAACGGGAAGGGAGAGTGATTTATTCCTTGCACCTGTACATACACACACACACACACACGCACGCACGCACGCACGCACACACACACACACACACACACACACACACACACACACACACACACACACACACACACACACAACATTGCAGTACATTGCCTATGAGCACAATATGTGAAGGACACTGCAACATGTGTTATTTCAAAAATGCATAAGTAATGATTTTAATAAAAGTAAAAGATAAAACACTAGGAAAAGGAACAATGGTCAGTGACCTTGTAAGATCAGACAGTTGGATTGGCTGCCTAATTGAGAAAATGAGATTAATATTTACATTTTCTTGTGTGTCTGCCTAAAGGTGCCCCAAGCAAGGCATCTCAAACTATATCACATGAGAGACGGACAGAGACAAAGACAATTGATTTGCCAGACAGGTTACCAGTTAGCTAAACAAATACACAGATAGACAGGCTGATGGGGAGACAGGCAATCAATTAATCAGAAAGATAACTGCACAAGCAGACGAGCAAACAGGAAGACTGACAGGCAGGGAAATGAGTCAGGCAGTCTGTTCAGTGGCAGGCAGACAGAAAGACAGGAAGTGGTCATTGGACAGACCAGGCAACAGACTGAGGGACTGTGAGGCCTGCAGGAGTTTAATCAGTCATGATGATAGGGGCGGGAAAAAGCCAAAATGAGAGGCAAGATCAGATTGTGATTGAACAATAGCTGGTCGAAATCACAAGCTAAATCGTTGAGTAGCATCTAATCTGTCTTTAATAAATCCTGTACTGCCTAAAGATACTGAATCCCCTTGCTGTTCTCCTTATCAGCAGTCAACAGTCCTAGACAGTGGTGTTTGTGCCAAGTTGTCACTGTGTCTACAATATATGTATGAATGTAAAGTTGCTAAAAAAGAAGAACAAAAAAAGAATATGCATAACCAGAACCAAATTGATCACTTAACTGAAAGAAAGTTTAAAACGACAAGCTACAGAATAATTTTGGCTAAGGATAAGTTCAAATACAAAATAATGTAAGCAATAGGTTAGGCATTATGCAGGACTCAGGAACATGCTGCTGGCTCAGGCCCCGGCTCCACGAGGACAAATACGGCAAAACGCATCGGAGTAACGCAAACGCAACCGCAAAAAACCTTCCGCCCACACGCAATATACACCGGATTGTGTCAAGCTCCACGAGACGGCTCCGTTTACATCCAACCGCTGGAAAAGCTGCAGTACATATGCCGAACCTGTACGTGGCGCTGTAACTTCCTCCACAAAAGCAGCAACTTCCTCCACAAAAGCAGCGAAGAAGAATGGTTGTCATGGCTGCACTTCTGTTTATTCTCCGCGGTGGGGGCGGAGGGAACCGCGCAGAGTTTTTCGCCGGTCAATGTGTGTTAAAGTTTAAATCTTCATGCTTCCTCATGCAGCAGCTGATCCAGTAAGTAAACCCGACAGTAAAAATAAACATATTTATAAACTAGTTTTAGGTAGTTTGAGAGGTAATTAAAATAGCTAAGGGTGGTGATCTGACTTGAAGTGTGTGGTTTTGCTCCCGCTGCTTCACAGCCGGAGGAGCTGCGTGTCTCCGTCCTGTCAGATTAGACTTCACTCGCGTTTATGTTCATATCGAGATAAGATAAATAATCTGAATTCAGTGTGCAGTGTACTTTTGCGGGGGGGTGAGCAGCAGAGGTGGGGAGAGGCGGGGAGAGGCGGGGCTATGAAACGCATGACCGTATAGGCGACCCCACGGCCCCGTTGGACCCCCCAGAGCGCTCCGTTCCCAGATCTATCCACCTTTGGACCCGTTGTCGTTTGCGGGGTCTGTTTCTACGTTTCTGTTACGGCGTCGTCGAGCTTAAACGGCTATACGCATGAGAAATATGCGGATTCAACCCGTTTTCGTCCTCGTGGAGCCTACGCCTCAGAGAGCTTAGTCAAGGAGGGAGTGCTGAAATGCTGCCTCCTGCTGTGTTATAAATAAGACACTTAAGACATAAGCTACTCACTGTCGTCAAGCAATTCAAACTATAGAAGGAAAATACCAACACAGACATTTATCCTCCATGCACACAGAACCCAGATAATAGAACTCAGAATGGAACTTCAAAGAATTACAGCCTGACTATGAAACAACAGTGCAGGGCCCTTATATCAAAGCAACAGCCTGAAAAACTTTTTAGCATGTGCGTGCGAGCATGTGCGTGCGAGCGTGTGTGTGTGTGTGTGTGTGTGTGTGTGTGTGTGTGTGTGTGTGTGTGTGTGTGTGTGTGTGTGTGTGTGTGTGTGTGTGTGTGTATTTTCAGTGGGTGGTTGATAATGGGTTCTTTTTTATCATTTAATTAAATCAGTAAAGATATACCATGTTCTGGCCTTTTGTATGTTGCCTCTTTACATTATATGGTTTTGGTATTTATCTCTGGTCAATCAGACTATACTGCAAACTGTATATGATAAGCAAGTTTTATCCAAATTCATAATTTCTAACTCAAGATTTTATATAATCTTTCTTGGACTTGGACTTGGATAAGTAAGACTGCTTGTCCTATCAAGACACACATCTATTTTACAGCTTTGCAGTGCATGTTGCAGTTGGCCTGTCTAGGAAATAGGCTTGCCCTTGTTCACTGTGGCTATACTGTATATTGGTAAATTCTCTTTTAATGCCAGATGTATTAATTAGAGGTCATGAGAAATGTGCACTCATTGCAATATGTTTATCAGATCAGGGACACTGGTCCATATGGGCAGCAGTTGTATCTCATTCCCTGATTGTCAGAACAGTGAGCTGATTCCCATTTTATTTTTTAACCTACTTAAATGCTGAAATTCAAGTTCTGAGTTAATTGTATTTTTTGAAATATTTGACTAGGTATGACGTCAAGAAGTATAAGTGGAAGACATTCTGTTATGGAACTGCTGGGTTTGGCTGATAAAAAATCACAGCGCTGTGCCTAAACAACATTAGAACCAAAGCAGTTGTTACTTTTTCCAACGAAAGTGGAATTTGTAAAGTGTAACAGAATAAATGTTGACGAAAGCTTTTTCATCTCAGTCTGACCCCAGCCCAGAGTTTTTGTAGGGCAAAGGAAACTAAGCCCAAAAGCAAATCAATGTCCTCTGTGGACTATAATGTCAACACATAAATAACTGTGACTTTGAAGCTGATGCACCTGCCCTGTTACACATGGTATTATCATCCTACCTTCTTGCACAGCCTGGAAGGGGTTGTTCCCGTCAACGAACTCCACAGAGATGGTGATCTTCTCCGTCTCCAAGATCTCGTTGTTCAAATTGAGATCTGCCACAGCAAGGCGAAACACCTCATCATCTTTCCGCGCTGACTCATCAAATATGGCGCCTATTGGCAAGGAAGAAGAAGAAAAAAAGGAAACTATTACTCAGTATTAAAGAACTTTTTAAATAAAAAGGGATGGAGACAAAAATATGGTGATGCAGAGTCCTGAGCTTTAGTGGTATGCGTATGCGAGTTATAGAGAATGTCGTGTGAGGATCAACCCTCATTCCCTGACCCATAGAAAACAACAACTTTATCTGCAAGAAATTGCTGAATGGATGAAGTTGTAAAACAGTTAATTGGGGCCAGTTCTATGATGCCAACGTCAACAATATGAACATTAGCAACATTTCCCAAGTTGATAACAAGATGAAATAGTCACGTGTATACCAAGTTCCTTTTATTGACACCCTGAAAAATATATTTCTACTGGTCAATGTTTAAAAAAAAAAGGATTTCAAGTTATTGAATATAAATAATATGTACAGTAGTGTTTATCACCATCCACATCTAAACTGATACCGGTATTGTTACCTGGATTTCTGTAATGTTATTGAATTATACCCTTGTTCAGTACTTTACTCCCTTTAATAACAAAAAAGTACATTATGTTGTTGAAAATAAGTACAAGCTTCTCTATTTCAACATTGTTTTCCATTTAGAACATTTAGTTATCCATTTAGAACAACTTCCAGCCTTTCAGTCTAACAGTCACTGTTGTGTGTCTTTGGACGCGGCATGTGTGAGCAGAGGTCAAAGATTTTACGTAATTGGCGAAAAAATCGAATGCCTTCGGATATTTTGACAGTTTAAAACACTTAGGGTGATCTAACATAACTAAGAGTAGTTCTCAACACGAAAAAAAATACGGAGCAGGGCTTTGAAGCACGTCCGCTCTCGTCCCTTCCACCTCTCGTCTCCATGAGGAGCAGCGCTGCTGCTGTGCATGCTGGGTATCTTTTAGAAGTGAGCAAGGGCTTGCAAGATTGGGAAATTAGATTTCACATTCAGAGTTGTGCTGACTTCTAATCGCTTACATGGGATACATTTTTTCCCAACTTCAGAAGTCTGTCAGTGGCAGAGACGCAAAAAGAATAATTGTGTAAATTTGCATTGTTTTGTATCTGATTGTTGGGGCAAAGAGGGTACAGTATTTGCATTGACCCATGCTTTAAATTACCATATGAATGCATAATCTACAAAAAAAATTCTGCATATTAATCATTAAAAATGTAAAATACATTAGAAGACATACATTTGATGTGTCTGTTTGTCAAAATGACAGACAAGAGAAAGCCTAAGGCAACCCCTATGTGAACCCCCAACTTGTTGCTCTGGCCAGTATTGCATTACCCTTCAAATAGTTCTCTCTCTCTGCCTTCCTGAGAGGTGTGAGGCACGAGGGGCGAAAGGTACCAAAGTAGGGCACTGATTGATTTAAAGTTATTTCTTACTTTTGTATATGCACATAAGAACAGTTGTCCGAAATCTTATTTAAACAGCTGACTAACTTTTGTAGGTTTTTGGATTCTTGCGGCTGCAAAACAAACATCTCTGTTATTTTATAATGTGGTCTGGACTTGTGGACTTGTGGACTTGTGTATGAGAATAGCCTCAGAATTGTGACACAGCTTGAGAAAGACAGGGTGGAGAGAGAAATGGGTCGACACTACAGTTCATGCTAAGGAAATACTGCCCAAGGGCACATTGTCTCAGTCAAATGAGTTGATGCACAAAGACAACATAGATGAAGACAGGGGAATGCCAGTATCTGTAGTGGCAGATTAAGTTCCCACTAGTCAATACTAAATTAGTCATCAGAATAATGTCAAACTGCAGTGATGCTGAGAGTAAAAAATGAGGAAACATGGAGCGTTGACTGGCTGCTAGCGATTTGATAATTGCCGTGGTCTGTCACACACAATTAACTATGTGTTTTATATATCTCTGTTTCTTGCCTTTTAGCCTCGCATTTAAACCCATTTATCCCCTCAACCCATTGGGCAACTAATTGTGTAAGCTAGTGCAGTGAAGCTCTGCTAACTGTTTTTCACTGACCAGAAAATAAGCCTTTTATTGTAAAGATTGTGAGTGTGTGTGTGTGTGTGTGTGTGTGTGTGTGTGTGTGTGTGTGTGTGTGTGTGTGTGTGTGTGTGTGTGTGTGTGTGTGTGTGTGTGTGTGTGTGTTGCAAATCCCATTAATATCAAGGCTGGCTACATTGGCTGAGGGCCACATTTGGAGGAGCACTGCTGTTATTGGGTCTTGTACAGTTCATTGAGTAGAGTCTGGTGCTAATACAACAAAGGCTATGGAGCAAAGTGGTTCGGGGATTATACTTATAATACTGGTATTCAGGGGTATGTTATAAACTTACTTTTAAGGTTGACTACCTAAAAAGAAAGTTGTAGCTTTGTCTAAACCAATTACTTGTTGCCAGCATCAATCTTAAAAATCAACATCTTACTTGCTTACCCCTATTTCAAAGGTACTTTTGATGAAATGTAACTTTTAAAAGGGCAATTTATTTAAACAAATGATTGACACATTCACCAAATTCAAAAGCAACAGCAGTTTAAACTAGTTCAATGGTATGCCAAATGCCTCTTCATCAAAAGGACTCATTTAGTATGGCTTTTGCAATAATTTGATCTGTCAGCATTTGGCAACTGTAAATATCCTCCTGCTGATTGAGCCCAGGTTGTTTCAACAATTCTGCACTATAGATGAGGTGAGACAAACAGGCCTGGGCAAAGCGATAAAGAGTCAATCACACAGATTCATTAACTCTTCCATTACAGATGAATTATTAATGGCGTTCCAATCAGTTTGAATGTGACACTGCTCAGGAAGGATTTGAAAGTTACACATTTTTTAAATTAGCTCTGCGACACAGGAGGACCATGTAAGGTTGTATATGTCTAGAGGACAAATGCATGGCAGTGGAGAGGACTGTATATGTTTTTTTATTAATGCTTCATAGAGGAAGTCAGACAAAAGTTGGACATATGTATTAATGTTCTCAGAGGGCACTTGGGATCAGTGTCTACTGCAGTCTAAAGTATCCAGAGCATAAAAGAATATATTAAAATAGAAGATGAAAAGTAGAAGAGTAGAATAATGGCTCCTTTAATCTGGGCTTCTACAATGGAGTTGCCATAGTAACCTCACTCGTTCTTCTAGACATATGTTAAAAGCTGCGCTGTGCACCACTCTCTTTGTATATGTTTTATTTTTCTCTCTTTGAAATATATATAAGCAATGTGTTGTTTGAGTCTAGTGCCACAACAACTACAATGAGGGTATTCAAATTGAGCAATTTTTACTAAATGTATTATTTATTTATCATGTATCATTCTTAATACCATTACAAAATAAATATGTATCAGCAACTTTTCCTCCTTCCTCCTCTTTCTCCCATGATCTCTTATCCTCCTTCTCTTTCTGTAGGATTGCTGTTGGGTGCAATTATTTATCAACAACATTATATGATTAAAAAACAAACTCTTATGTAGACACTTTGAAGAGCAGGTTCACAGAGACAGAAACAAGAGATATAATTAAACAGAAAGATACTTTTATAGAAATAAATATCTTCTGTATATAGAAATTACAGACATACATCTATTAAATGTGTTTTAATAATCATTCTCTTCTCAAAGAAAGGTAGAAAATGGTGACCGTTTTAAATGTGCTTATAATGTATGTTGGAAGTGGCAACAAAAAATAATCTCAATGTGTGTTTAGCAATTTCCATATCGTGGAAAAAATATTGGATGTGTGGAGAGTGGAAAGTAAAGCAGTGAGAGGAGAATGAGGTTTTACTAAGATTGTGAGCGCAAACGCAAACACCACATAAATCAACCAGGTAATAAAAGCATTATATCTTGCTTTGCACAGACAGCACAAGGGCGGGTACACATGCACACACACACACAAGCACGTGATGAGCAGCACCAAATTATCAACTTATGTCCAAACCATCCCTTCAATAAAAAACAGCATCAATGACAACAGTGGTCAATTTGAGAGGATGCAGCATCACAAAGTAGAGACGCCACATTGTTCAAATGAGAGGTATTGATCAACTGCCTCCCTATGGTCAAGTGTTTAGTTGGTATACATTTCCGAGTTTGTTTTCCTTGATAAAATGCAATAGATAACTTGTTTGCATGCTACTGCCAAATAACCTCTTGGGTTGGATGATGGATGCTGGAGGTACTGTAAGATACAAATAAGAAGTCGGGGTGTTGAAATCTGCCATGAGAAATGTACTTTATAATATTTGTATTTAATCTTTCTCTAGCGATACCAGTTTTATTTGTGATCTTAGCTCGTACATATGTTCTCTTTTTTAATTTACTTCTACAAATGTAATTAAAGCAAAACCTCAGAAATGTATTAATTGCCTACATACAATGTACCTAGCCATGGTCATTCACATTCTTACTTAAAGGTCTGGTTTCCACAACAGGCACCTAACCAGACATTTACTCTTATCAACACAACTTTAATGAGACTTTAACAAGACAAGACTGAGAGTCCAACGCCCAAATCACAATGCTAACATGATGAGGCTAGGTGTGATGTTGTTGCTATCACAATGTAGCGTATCAACATGCTAATATTTGCTTATTAGAACTTAACAAAGTTGAGGCTGATGTGAATATTACTAGTTGTGTAGTAATGAGTCGGAAACGACTGAATGAACGAACATTTGGACCAGATGATATAGCTAGAGGAAACAATGAGGGATCACCACCGGGGATTTCGATTGATCCTGAGGGGGGGCATATATTGCAAACTCATGGCAGAGCTAGTGGATCAAAGTCAGTGGGAAGAAAGAAACTGTGAACTTAATGAGGACTGGCAAAAGCTGCTATTGCTCCTTCACCCGAGCTAAGGGGGGGGGGGGGGGGTACAAATGTTCGACTGCCTGCTATGAGAGAGTGAAATGGTCAAAGCGATTCAAGCTGAAAGAATGCTCAAACACTGCCCTGACCCTCCTTCCTCACAGTGTTACTTATCAAAACCACCAGGTGAAAGAATACATTTTACTGGTTTA